GGCAGCTGGTGGGTGCAAGTGGCTGACCTTGCAGTTATCAGTCCAATGCATAACCCACTACGCCACCACAGCTCTACCCATAAACCAACTTTCCTCTTTCCCTGTTCCAATGGGAGTAGTTACTCATCAGGCTCAATGGTTCCAAGGCACATGCCCAATATCTGGTCTAACAGAGCCACTGAATTTTTTGGTTAGTCACCAAATCTTTAATCACTCTGCTACCAGGATAGAATAGTGATTCACTAGTATGTAGCAGGAGTCAAATTACTGACACAGAGAATGGTGTGGTTCGCATTCCCCATCAACCTCTGTCCTGGCTTTAGTATCCTACAGCACTTATGACAGTGCAGTGTCACAATGACTTCTAATCCATTCACAAGTAAAAACTGGCCCTCAGGTCTAATCACGTGTTCAGCACTTTTGACATTTGACATTTGGCATCCTTTGACAGGCAAGCAGTATTAAAAGGACCTTAAATGACCATGCCTTTTATGTAGAAAAGTGACAATGCTTTGGCTTGGTTCTACTGCTTTTAGATAGTATCATAGGGAGGGCAAGCCTTCGTTTTAAATTCTTCAATAACAACACTCGATTTTAAAAGGATATTTTAAAATTTTAAAAGGATATTTACAAAGGATAGTCTCATACCTCAAAATCATCGATATAAGAATTTTTGTAATAGATCAGTAACTCCTAATAAGATTAACATAGTAGTTATATTTATTTTCATAGTACATTGTTGCTATATTCAGTATGTATTTTTAACAGGTTTCACTTTGAGGTACAAAAAGCTACTGGATATAGCTAATTCAGGATCAACTTCAAAGTCTAAGTTCTAACTAGCTTAAATATTTATGTTTAGTATACAAATAAAAAAAAGGCTCTCACATTACATTAATAGACAAAGTATCCCTAGGGAAAAAAATCAGAAAAAAACAAGCACCTTAATTCATCATATTGTTTTACACAGCAATGCCCTTTGAAAATGTCTTTGCAAAAATTCAAATTTTATTAAAAAAAAATACTACCAATCTTTTAACTTAAATAATTATTTCAGAGCTCTTAACTAGTGATTAGGGAAAATTTAGTATATTATCTCACATTATTCCACTTCCATTGCCAGAGGCTTGGTCTCTAGATTCCTGAACAGGCTGGATGTTAACATACAGGTCCCTGATCTCCTTTCTGATGCACCGCACTGCTGCCGCCGCCATCTCTTTTGCTACCTATTTTGACAAGATAGGAAACAGTAAAATCAATTGACAGCTGATTGTTTTGAAAATGTTCAAGAATTATCTTCATAAACATTATTATAATCCTTGAATTTCAACAGCACCAGAGAGAACACTGACTTCCAAGAAAACTTTAGGAACAGATACATTAAGTTCTTTCAATAGTCTGAAAATATAGCGAATGGTTATCAAGACATAAATACACTTCCAAGAACAATTAGACAACTTACTTTAAAGGGCAAAACACCAGCAACAAAAGATCTTCCATGTATCTTAGTCACGGAGCCACGGTCAGTTAAATTTATTGGGTTCAACTGTTTAACGGGTGACATGCGAATAACCACCTCGCCGCCCCCTCTTGGGTAGTAGCCCCTGTGAAAAGTACAGGAAATAATCAAGTAAGTGAATGAATGAGGGGAAAAAAGACACTTCAGTATTTGCAATAGAGAACATATACAAATGATGCCCAAATCGTAGTCTTAAGCTACATGATTCTTTGTGGGTATTTTCCCCCCTATTTTTATTTATCATTTTAATGGGGACGCTTACAGATATTATAACAATCCATAAATAAATATCAGGCAAAAATTGTTGCCATCATTTTCAAAACATTATCTTTCTACTTGAGCCCTTATGATCAGCTCCTCTTTTTACACTCTCTCCCACATCCTCCCACCCTCATGAACCCTTGATAAATCATATTATTTTTCTCAAATCTTACACTGTCTGCTGAATCCCTTCACCCACATTTCTGTTGTTTGTCCCCCTTGCGGGGGTTGGGTGGGTTATGCATCCATCATTGATATCGGTTCACCCCCTCCCCCCAACCTACCCTCATGATGTTGCTATTCCCATTACTGTTCCTGAGGGGTTTATCTGTCCTGGCTTCCAGGTGTTGAAAGCTCTTGTCTGTACCAATGTGCATGCTCTGGTCTAGCCGGAATTTTAAGATAGACCTGGGGTCATGACAGTCGGAGTGTGTGTGTGTGTGTGTGTGGGCGGGGGCTGGAGAAGCATTAAAGAACCAAAGGAATGTTGTGTGTTTCATCAGTGCTAACCCGAACCCTGTCCTTTCAGTGACCCTTCTGAAAGGGAATGCCCAATTGTGTATAGATTGGCTTTAGGTCTCCACTCTGACCCCTCTCCTTCACATCGATATAGTTTGTTTTTGATCTTCTGTGCCTGATCGCGTGGACATCTCATGATTTCACAGGCTGGTGTACTTCTTCCATGTGGCCTGTGTTGCTTCCCTGCTAGCTGACCGCTTGTTTACCTTCAAGCCTTTAAGACACTGTATCTTTTAACAGAGAGGCACTGTGGGGGGAGGTCAGATCCTTGCAACAGCTGCCAGACCACCGTCTCCCCATATAGAGGTGGGCCTGCTCCCTACTGCTGGGGACAATGGACGGGCTCCTGTATGCAGAGTTCACATCCTACTAATAATGGTCTCTATCAGTTGGGCCAGGAACAAGCCAAACCGGGCTCTCTGTGATATTCAAAGTTAGGCTGCTATCCTGTATCTAAGACCCACCCATCTTGCTGTGTGTATACCCCCATCCCTCCTCTTCCTATTGCCTGGATACCCCTAGATCAACCCCTCCCATCACTGTAATACCTATAGCACAACCCTGTCCTGTGACATATGTCTTCACCTGTAATTAGGGGGCTTGTACATCCCCAGAAAGGATTAAAAGCTTGGAGAACATTAAAGTTGAGCTCCCCCTCCACGTGGACCACCAAGCGGGGCTGAGGTGAGCAATGCTACCATAAAATGTGTCTGACTGCATTTATTTCTATATATCTCTTTTATCTCTCATGCTCTAATAACTTTACTATAATATTTACTTATTATCGCTGTACAATTGCGCCTACCGAACCCGTAATGATTGTGCTAGGAGCTGGTTTCTCCTGGCAAGGCACCATCAGCTTTCTTCATCGTATTTGCATATGCAACCATTTTGTCTCCAGCGTTCGTTTTGGGAAGGCGAGCATCACACAGTGCCAGGTTATCAGAACAGAGCTCTTGTGTTGAGGGAAGTAGAGGCCCAAAGTCCGTATGCTCTGTGGGTATTTCTTAATTGTCGCTTGGGTAAAAGCTTAAAGAGCAAATTAGTTTCCTATTCAGCGATTTACACACATTTTGTTTTGCAACATTAATGCTCTTCCTGCTTCCTACTTGAGTTCATTTCTATCTATCCTCCTAGTCTGTCTTTTGAGCTTCGTTCTGGGGCAAATACTGCCCCTGTGGTCTCATCTGGTCCATCACTCTGACACGCACGTTCCTCAAGGGTGTCTATGCTCACTGTACAAGCCGATCTATTGTTAGGATGTAAAAGGTTTCTCAGGGGTGATCTTAGTTCTAGGTTTACATGTGATCTAAAGGCCATAGTCTCAGGGTTCTAAAGTCTCTTAACAGACCAATACATTTGGTCTTTTTCTATCATTTTGAATTTTGTTCTACATTTTTCTCCCATTCTATCTCAGGCCTTCTATAGTCCAGAGTAGAGTAATCCACAGTTGTAGCCAGGCCTGATCTCTAGTTCTCAGGACAGTTGATGCTGTGCTCTGTTATCAACTGTGGTCCATTAATCCTTTAGACTAGCTGTTCTCAACCTGTGGGTCATGACCGCTTTG